TCCTGTGGCTTTTTTTGAATTGTCACAATTCTTATTTCTGCTAGAGCAATGTGCCGTAGTGCTGGTGAAATCCTCGCTGATCCTTATTTGAAGGGGACATGGGTCCACAGTGATTCTACACATAGTATGGACATGTACTTGCTTTCGTTTTCACAGAGTCCAAGAACGAGGCTTTCCCAGGGCATTGCGGCTCAGGTCCATGTATTACAGCGACCCTTTCGTGAGTGCGTCGAAAAAGAGCCCAATTTGCTGACGAGCCACTATCAGACATACTGGAGAAATATATTCATTGAATAATGCTCTTTCACCAGCATCATGAGGTGTAAACCTCAGCTTTGGTTCCGAAAGTGGAGAGGTCGCAAATACAGAAAGTGGAGAGGTTGCTTTGACACCAGAGACAAGACTTGTTTATTTGAATTGTAGAGCTTAGGTGTCGCACTTTTCAAGCGTGAAACAACCCATACAAACATACTCACAGACCAACACACGGCAGCACGCATGGACATGCATGAACTGTTGGTACCTTTCTTCCATTTTCTTCCTACCACCCCCTCTAGTACTGTTCTTGCCTTCAGTAGCTCCGTCACATGCCGAACCAGTAACTCGATACGGTACTTGCATGAAGTGCGTGCAGTCCAATCCACGGAGAAAGTCGACTGCTTTGAATCCATAAGATTGAGCAATGGACGTCATGCTCGCCTTTCCAGCGACTTTAAGGTGGAGCAGAAGCTGTCCACTCTGACTTACAGCTTGTGCTGAAAGTGTTGCAGTTGCATATATTTACAAGGTACGACCTTGCTTGTTTTCAATGCTCACATGCAGAAAGTTCACAGGTTTGTAGAGCACATTTAGACATATACATTGACATACAGATTCAGTACAGACACTGCATGATACTGCAATACTTTAACACAAAGCCTCTATTTGTACATGTACCCTCTCTCTTTCTGTCCTCCCCTCCTCTGCTGATGGGTCTACACGGTATGTACCCATTGGGGCAGCGACCCATGTATCGATGTCCTTCGTGTAGGATACAAGGCCGACCGAGGAGGCGCCCACACACACCTCCACTTGTATGCATGTATCCATGCTCAATCTCCATCAATCAGCACACTAACTTCTCTCAACAAGATCCAGATACCTATAGAGCTGCCTCAGTGTATGCCGAAACACGATGTTGAAACAACAAGACCCTAAGTAGCCACAAACTGATGAAACACCAAGGTTTAAGCAGAAACATGTAGAACCTGTACCTACTATTCAAGTGCTGCTGAGCAGCACTTGTTCAGTCTGAAGCTGCTCCTCAGTCAAATAAACTGTCACAGTCCAAAAAGAAGGTGTCACAATTTGGTGAGTCTGTGCCAATGCAAATGAGGATGAAGTATGTTGATACCAAAAGCAGTTGAACTGACAAGCTAGAAGGAACGCAAAGGGGGACATGGCAATGAGGATGACATATGTAATTAGGGGAACAGGAAATCCAGCGAGGCTGTCAATCGATGATGTTATGGTATGACTGAGATATCGTAAGATAACTTCCTGTCACAGCCGCCGCTGTTACGTTCAATCCATTTGAGCAGCTTCAAAAACCTCTATGATGGAAAGTGTGCAAACTGTAATCTCACATTCTTTCGCGAAAGCCAAAACGCAGGTCGCGAAAGGTTCGCGAAAGCCCCGCGAAAGAACCCCAGAAGAACAGCGTCGCGAAAGCTTTCGCGAAAGTCGAATTTCTTGTGCATGTCGTGTTGTTTATGTGGGTGACCATATTTTTATGCAGGCAGCCGCAGCAGGCCAGCCAGCCAGCCAGCCAGCCAGCCGCAGCACACCAGCCAGCAGCAGCAGCAGCGCTGAAGAGCAAGTGTTTCAGGGGAACATCGAAAAGCCCAGACGAATTTCCGCGAAACCCGCGCGAAAGCCTCGCGAAAGAACCGCGAAAGTCGAAAATATCCGGGAAAGGTATCTGGCCCCAGCAAAAAGTTTCAGCAAGTTTTCCTCCTCTTCTGATGACAACAATAATACTTGAACGGTGCTGCTACAACTCCTTGTGCCAGGATGTTGCCGGAAAGAAATTTGTTCAGTTTTGACCACCCTAAGGACACTTATATCGGATAACTTATATAGATCAATCACTTTATTGTACAATATCCCAATCGAATTTCCCAATCGAAAACGAATCGCCGCGAAAGCCGCCGCGAAAGCCCCACATAACACCACACCTTCCGCGAAAGCCAGAATGCAGGCCGCGAAAGCTCCGCGAAAGCTTTGCGAAAGCAAACCTGGATTATACAAAAAAGTAATAGGGGTTTTCGAAGCTGCTCATTTGGCAGAAGTCATTCACTACATCGCACGCATCATAGCAACTCTTCAAGTTCCAGACAAGCTAACGAACATAGTAAGCCTCCGTTGGTGCAGTCGGTGAAACTCGTCCACTTTTGGAATGCCCCCCTTTGCGTTCCTTTTAACTTGTCGGTTCAACTGCTTTTTGTATCAACCTATTTCATCCTCATTTGCATTGACAAAGACTCACTTCATCTTGACACCTTTTTATTGGACTGTGATGCCTTTGTCAAAGTACCTAGAGGCTGATAGTTCCTTCCAACTGCTTTCTGGGAGAAGCATCTTCTTTGCATGCCGAAAGGCCGAGCCCAACGACGCAAAAGCTCCCTTTGGATTGGCCCTCAACATTTGTTGACCACCATCATCATCATCATCATAATGATTATAGTATAGAGTTGGTTGCGACCAAGGCTCCAGTGCATTCTGTGAGGCACTTCAGTTGGAAAGGCCAGGCTTGAGCATGATTGAACCAGTTGACTAACAAGCAATTTTAACAAGTGCTTAAGATTGTGCTTATTGTGCTTAAGGTGTTTTTTTTTGTTTTGATCTTTTTGCGGCAGGCCATGAAGCAACTCTTGTGCTGAGTTGCGGCTTACCTGTCAAGGCCATTGGCGTGAGCAGCCTTTTAACCCCTTTGGGAGGTCAGTTTGAAAGATTTTCTCTTGTTCTGTGCATGAAAGACAAAGACAAGCACAGCAACTTGCCACAGTGCAATTTCAGCTGCACTTTTGTGTATAGTTGCGCGATAGAAGCCGAAGAGCATCACTAAGTCACTATGATAGTGAACCCGGATTCCACCCAACAAAGGTGATGCAATGGCGCCGCTGTCATCGAGAGCTTTTGGCTCGCCACGCAAGCCATTCTGGCAAGACACACTCAAGAACCGCGGAAGGGTGGGTGCATGGTACTAAGGTTTGTATGGTAAGTCATGCCAGGAAAGTCCTTTGAGTGCTTCCCCAGTGGAGAAGGCGATGCCACATGGCCCTTTGAATCTTTCTTGATGCTTGAATCACTTGAAGCTGGTAAACAAAACTTTGCTGTGTCCATCTTGAGGTTCCCCAGATCGACTTGCAGACTTGGCTTTGACCTTGAGATACTGTGTATATATATAATATATATATATGTTGCACATTCCGCAACGTTATATCAAATCCGATAGCTGCTGCTCTGTAGGCTATGTTACTATAAATTGCCATTGTTTTTTCATGTCTTTGGTTTTAACACAAGCGCCGTTCTTGGCCCAGTTCCTCCAATTGCCACTGCGGAATGGTGTGCTGCTCTCTGGTGTGCTGGCCAGAGACCCACCAAAGGCCGCTGGCTGAGAGTGCCAAACGCAGCTTTTGGACACCAAAAAACCGACCATTCTTATCCAGTGTTCCTGAGAGCATATTTGGAGCATATTTACTGTACTTTCCGTGTACATTTGCACTAGACTGCAAAAACATGTGCTTAATATTGTTTGCTTTATTCTAGATCCGGAAGCTGGTTTTGCTAGTTCGAGTCTGCAAGTCTCCCTCGCTTGAACATGTCAGAATAGTCAGTTTATATATAATCCACAAATATCCACAACCCTTTTCCTGACTTTGACAACGAGTGTCTATAAGTTGGGACCGGCTGTCCGGTTGATGGAGACAAAAGTTCTCACAAGTTCATGAAACCCTGTGGTAGAATGAAATGAGGCATCCACTCTTTTTTCATGAGTGCTATGCTTTTTGTGGCTTGCGGTTCGTGCAGGTTCTCATGCCCCCTTTGGCCATAGTGCCGAGAGTGTTGCCAGCCAAATTGAGTGTGAAATTCCTTCAGCTACTAGCAGTTGTGTCCCAAATGCAAATTTTTGGTAGCAGGATGGTGCAGCCTGCATTCCTTTCGAAGTTGAGGAGACACAAAATTCAGAAGCGTTGAGGCCATGGGGAAAGGCCAAAAGTGTCAAACTGAATCTGGGATGTAAGGTCGGAGAATGTAAACGATAAACTTTTGCTTTTGATACTGAGTGCGGAGGCACTTCCATCCTGGTCCCTTGCTCCCTGAGTCAGCGCCTGGCAAAGCTTTGCAGCAGTCGTTGCAGGCAGCACCAGAGGACGGATTACAGGTTGGCATCGGGCCGGAGAAAAGATGTCAACGATGTCTTCTCAGAGTTAGTTTGTCCAGGAGTTTGAAGTTCTTAGCAAGTACGAGCACATGCGAGCATGGATCAGCGGCCTTATCCACAGTGGACCTTGCTACCTCAGATTCCGCTGGCTCAATCCACTCTCAGGATCATCTCCACCCGAAGAGCAGGACGGGATCACACAGAATAGAATTAGAATCAGTTCAAGAGGAACTCCCCTTGTGCACGACGCCAGGCAGAAGTGCTCTTGCTCGAGGTCTACAGGCGCTTCCAAAAGGAGACTGGAGCACCACCGAGGCAATCCATTTCTCTTGAACTGACTGTCTGGCCCAGTTGAGAATTTTTACTTTGACTTCAGGCCTAAAGCAGCAAGCGTAGCAAGCGAGGAAGAATATGACCTGTGCCCACCTTTCAATCAGATTCAGCACACCCACCACACCTGCCACACCTACTGCCGGAAACAGCTCACTTCAAAGGTACATCCACTCCTGCAAGGATGTGTCGATAAAGGCACTACGGTTTCTTGACGGTTACTGTTTGGACGAAGAAGGGTCAGTAGCTTTGCCAGCTTGTTCCACTGCTTCAAATCTTCATGGTGCAGGCTCTACATGGTACATGCAGTCCGGATTTCTGCATGATTGCGGAGGAATTGAGATTCGTGCGTATGTGTTTTTGAAAGGGGCTCAATCACTCTCCAGGCTCATGTCTTGGGCCTCGCTAAGAATTCAGATTTTCCAAGGCCAAACTGACTCTTCATGTTCTTTTCTCCACGTTCTTTTACATACCCCAAAGATTCCCAGATTCTGTAGGCTCAAGCAGAGGGATGCCAGAGCAATGTATGCAAGCGCGCTACTCTCAGACTTTCAGATTCGCATCATTCCCAATTACTGAATTGCACCGTGCTCATTTGCCCTTAGAAAAGTAACCTGACCGTTGAAGTTTTGGATTTGATCTTAGTGCATAGTGCATTGCGAGCTTAACGCGGACCGCTATTTCTCGATCAGCCAGCCGGCCGGCTGGCCGGCCGGCCAAAAACCACAGCCTCAACCAGCAGGCCGGCCAAAATCCACAGCGCCAGCTGGCCAAAAACCACGGCGTCAACAGGCCGGCCGGCCCTAAAACTCCGACGTCAGCCGGCCGGCCGGCCCGATCGTTCCACCACGACCACGACCACGACCACGACCACCACGACGACGACGACGACTACTACTACCACTACTACACTACCTACACTACCACTACCACTACCACTACCACTACGACTACTACTACCACTACTACTACTACTACTACACTACCACTACTACACTACCACTACCACTACCACTACCACACTACCACTACCACTACCACTACTACTACTACTGCTACTACTACTACTACTTCTACTACTACTACTACTACTACTACTACTACTACTACTACTACTACT